ATTATATTTTGATGAAATATACAATAGATATTTGTACTAGTTAAAAGCGTAAACAGTAAACAAAAATAGACCGAACTTGTAAGAGGATGTAATTACAACCGGAAAATACCGAAAAAATATCTAGTAAAAAAGATGCCGTTCATAAGTAGTTATTTGTATTTTAAACTAAATATTTTAATGTGTTTTATTTTTTTATTTTTAATAAGTTCATTGAATTTCTTAAGAGAATAGATACTAAACTTTAAAATATCCTTTATTAAGCGGATTTTCTTCTTTTCTTTTCGTTAAGATTCGGTTTTAATTTAAACGACACATGTTTCCGATGACACCGGCATGAGGAAAAAAATCGCAATTTATTTTGCCTTTAAGTTCGATTGCTGAAATAAATACGAAATTTTGAAGAAAACTATTTCTTGTGGTAATTTAGGTGGTTATTTTGCAACTTTCTCCGAGTTATTCTTTTTACAGTTCCAAAACGACCTACCCTAATATATATATATATATATATATATATATATATATATATATATATATATATATATATATAATGTCATTCATGAGACACTACTGTTACGCAGCTCCTCAGTGCGAATAGACATCCGAATGACTCAAGCCAGTATTGAAATCAAACCGATTTGGTTTCACTCAGAGTTTCTAACACTGACGGAGCTATCTTCATTCGACAGAGTGAAGCAGCTAAATCTAGCGTATTGTTTTTACGAACAAAATGCCAATCAGTCGGAGTGCTCTATTCATTTTACTGAAGAGCTTTGCAATAGCGCAGGTGGCTGTTGTTTATAGAATTAATTTGTCACTCAAAAGTGCTCAATTGAAATAAACCTAATGCTTTCTCTTTGCCTTGTATCCATTTCTATCCATAGAAATAATGTAGAAACAGAAAATATATTAAAATATTTGGCGGATCTAATCCATTTCATATAATATGTTGTCATTACGTTAGGTAACGTTTGAGAGCACATATGATAAATCGAGAAAGATCGTCGAAGATGTGTGTTTATAAGCAGTAATTTGAACTTTGCTAACTGGAAGCTCACTGTGGCTACATGGTTAATAGCACGTCAGGCCAAATGCTGCTTTCCGTATGGGGCGCAGGATCGATTGAAGTCGGAGAATACAAAGTTTCCCGAATATTCAGGCCGGTAAATGTAATTAATACTGTTTAATTAAAAACAGAGCATTTACTCAAATAAGTTGTATCTATAAAAATAACGCATAAATAGAAAATGTATTAAAATATTTGTCGGATTATTCCATTTCGGATAATATATGTATGTATGTATGAAAATTCAGATATAAATATAATGTATCTGTAAAAAGACAATATGAATAAAGACAAAAGGAAAATTTTTATTATAAAATTATATTTATATATTATATATTATATACATTATATATATAATATATATAATATATAATATAATTATATTATATATATATATATTATATATATAATATATATATATATATATATTATATGTATATATATAATATATTCATATATATATATTATATTTATATATTATATATTATATACATTAGATATATAATATATATAATATATAATATAATTATATTATATATTATATATATTTTATATATTATATATATAATATATATATATATATATATATATATATATTATTATATATATATATATATTTATATAATATATATTATATACATTAGATTTATAATATATAATATAATTATATTATATATATATATATATATATAATTATTTATTTTAAAAAATATAACATAAATATGTTGTAAAATCACTACAAAAATAGCCATTTTGTTTCAACACCTCCTGTGTCTTATCAAGTGATGATGTTGAATGTAAAATTTTTTTTTTATAAAGGTCTGTGGAGATGTTCCCTGTCTCGTCACTTTTTGCGTGTATATATATCTAAATATGTCTGGGTGTTTATGTATTATTATCTCAGTGTGTTTTTGTTTTTTTTCCGCGTGAGGTTGGGACCCCATTCAAACACTTGGGATTAAAATGTATACCTATTGTCAGAGGACCGGATAGCATATCAGCGTTTATTCTATCGTAATTTCAATGAAGAAATAAATTGAATAACATATGTATTTCTTCTTTTCTCCTAGGTAATTTTATAATTTTAAACTTACTAGTGATTAATTTTGGATTTTAAAATTGGTAATTTTTACTTTTAATTTTAATATCAAATTTTATCATATAATTTAATAATTATTGGTTAGAATAAATTCTTTTTTAATATTACCCCTATTTTCAGATTATCTGAATAGCTATTATAACATGACTTCGTTATCAAGCTTTTTGAATTTTCCTATACTTGTATTTTGATTAGTCATTCTAGCTTTTGTAACAACGTTTTCCCCTTGCGAAGGATCGTTAATTAATTTGAAACTTTTAAAATCATTTATTTTACATTTAACATCATCACTTGATAAGACACCGGGGGTGTTGAAACAAAATGGCGATTTTTGTAGTGATTTTATAACATATTTATGTTATAAATTTTTTTAAATAAATAATTATATCTGCTCTACTCTGTATTGAGCACTCTTTTAAGAATAGTAATTGTTGGTTATTGGAATTCATTCCGTATACACCAATTATATACTTGGGTATATATATATATATATATATATATATATATATATATATATATATAATAAAGATAAACCTAAAAGAGCCAGGCAAACCTACCTAGGTTTCATCTAAACGGATCGTCAGGGTAATGCTGGCCAATACATATATATATATATATATATATATATATATATATATATATATATATAGGTGTATCAACAATATTTTTTACAAAATTTGAGGCGTGTTCCTCACACCAAATCAAAAGCAAAAGTCCATATAAATATATAAAATCGCAAATTCTTCGTTTTTGAGTTATTAAGTTTAAAGAAAGTTTATGGTAGATGGCACTGTGTTGTAATGTAGACTAGATTACATTTGTCATTCGTGTACATTTGTGGCTAGTCTGTCTTCAACGTTTAACATGTGTAGTAGTGAGTTAACTGAGAGATGTTCCATTTAATAATGGCAGGATATTCATATCGTGAGACGCCAGATATAATTTTTACATACTGCCGCGCGAATGGTAATGGACGCGAGGCTGCATGGCTATATCAGATTGCATTCCCAGACCGAAGGCAGACGAGTCATCAAACCTTTTCTGCTCTTATCCTCGCGTTGCAGAGACAGGATCCTCGTCACCCATACTTTTGAATTTGCCCTCCCCATTACCTGCAGTTTTTCTTTAAATGTTTTTTCGTCTTAAAGGCTCGGGAATTGCTAGAATGGTAGACGAGACGTTGTTAAATGGTTAAATCTTAAGTCACCGCTCGCATTTGGCACAATGTGAGGGTTAACTTATCTTTCAATGATTTATGGCCTGGCATATTCTTCTTCTCTGCTGTTATATAATTCCTCATTGTCATTTTTTACCCAAAATAACCCTGTTTCGTCACGGGCGACGTATCCTTCCGCCTCAATCCATACAGCGAAAGTTTTTACGTATTCTTCCGCTGCTTTGTTATCAGAACTCGCTGAATGACAGATCTCTTTCTAAACTTGTCAAACCAACCACTACTGGCTTTAATTGAATCCTGTGTGATAGATAGATATGGATATCCAGAGATAGATACAAGGATAGATAGAAGAACAGACAGATAAATATAGACACTCGTAGATATATATATATATATATAGATAGATAGATAGATATACCGAGTTAAATATGGAAATACATATAGATATATAGATAGGCAGAGAGATAGATATGAAGATTCATAGATAGATAAATAGACATCTAGGTAGATAGACATGAACATTATAGACAGATATGAAAATCCATACATGGACAGATAAACATTCATATAGCGATATCACTTAGATAAATATGAACATCCATAGATAAATTTACAGACAGGCAGACAGACAGATAGATAGATAGATATATAGATAGATATGAATATTGACAGACACATTGATAGATATATGAACATCCACAGATATATTAGTAGGTATATACCACCATATATATATTGATAGATAAATATGAACATAGATAGATAGATAGATAGATAGATAGACGCACAGACAACCATGAACATTCTGATATATATATATATATATATATATATATATATATATATATATATATGTATAAATGTGAACATTGAAGTAAACACTCAGAGGCGACAGGCTGTTTCATGCTAGACGCAATCATCAGGCTGCGAATGTTCCTCAACTATTTATGCTTGCCGTGGTCTATTCTGTTATTTTGTCGGGGAGACATTTTTTAATTAATTAATTAATTTGGATTGATTATTTTTAATTGTTTATTTATGTTTATTTTATTAGCTCCAATGGTTATTTTAGCGGGGGGGGGTTGTTAATTTGTTTATTTATTTATTATTCGGATTAATTTTTACTTGTTTTTTATTTATTTACTTATCGTTTATTTTGTATATTTTTATTTACTCTATTTGGTTTTCGATTTTTGACTAACGTAGCAATTTTTTTTTAATCGGTATATAGCAGTTATAGCTATTTTTACGTCCAATTTTCGGATGGGTTATTGTAATCTATTCTAACGGTTATTTTGGCGGGACTGGTTTGTTAATTTATTTATTATTATTTACTTTATTTATTTATTTGGGTTGATTATTTTCATATGCTTTTTATGTTTTTTTTAATTTTTATTTATTCTAATTCGTCTATTCTAAAGGGAGTGGTTTGTAAATTTGTTTATTACTTGTTTGGGTTAATTTATTTTACTTGTTTTCTATATTATTTATTATTATTTATATTTTATATTTACATACACTCTGTCTGTGATATTGAAGACTTTATCCCATAAATATAGCACAACTTAAAACTATATATCTTCATACATACATACATACATACATATATATATATATATATATATATATATATAGATAGATAGATAAATGCATACACAAATCTATAAATAGATATATAGGAACATCCATGGACTGATGGACCTGAACAAAATGAGAAAAATAGATAGATAGATATGAACATAGATAGATAGATAGATAGATAGATAGATAGGCAGATAGATAGATAGATATGAATATCGATAGACACTACATTGATACATAGATAGTTATGAACATCCACAGATATATTGATAGATATAAACCTCCATATATGTATATTGATAGATAGATAAATATGAACATAGATAGACAGACAGACATGAACATCCCGATATATATATATATATATATATATATATATATATATATATATATATCCATAGACAGATAAATACATACACGAATTTATAAATAGATATATAGGAACATCCATGGACTGATGGACCTGAACAAAATGAGAAAAATAGATAGATAGATAGATAGATAGATAGATAGATAGATAGATAAATAAATATGAGAATAGATTGATAGATATGGATATTTACAAATAGACATGGAGATACATAGATAAACACATATGGCCACCCCTAGATAGATAAAGAGATAAATATGAACATCCATAATTATATATAGCGAGATAGATATAGACATCCATGGATACATAATTAGACATATAGAGATGAACATTCATAGATAGATAGATAAACAGATAGATAGATACGAATATTATAGATAGATAGAGAAATATGTACATCGATAGAAAAAAGATAGACAGGTAGATAGATATGAACATCTATATATAGACAGAGCGACAGATATGAACATCCATAAATATATAGATAGATAGATATATTTGTTCGAAAGAGAAATAAATTCTAGATAAAGCGTACATAACAAAACTAATGTATATTGTTTTATTAGAAACATTCTGAAATGAATAAAACTTTAACCATCGGTCTTAAACTTATTTTCTCCAGTACAGACAGATAGATAGATAGATAGATAGATAGATAGTGATATGAGCTCAGATAGATAGATAGATAGTGATATGAGCTGAGACAGATCGATAGATAGATAGTGATATGAGCTCAGATAGATAGATAGATAGTGATATGAGCTGAGATAGATCGATCGATAGATAGATCGTGATATGAGCTCAGATAGATAGATAGATAGATAGATAGATAGATAGATAGATAGTGATATGAGCTGAGATAGATCGATAGATAGATAGTGATATGAGCTCAGATAGATAGATAGATAGTGATATGAGCTGAGATAGATCGATAGATAGATAGATGGTGATATGAGCTCAGATAGATAGATAGATAGTGATATGAGCTGAGATAGATCGATAGATAGATAGATGGTGATATGAGCTCAGATAGATAGATAGATAGATAGTGATATGAGCTGAGATAGATCGATAGATAGATAGTGATATGAGCTCAGATAGATAGATAGATAGTGATATGAGCTCAGATAGATCGATAGATAGATAGTGATATGAGCTCAGATAGATAGATAGATAGATATGAACGTTATAGATATACATATAAGCAGATATGAGCATCCATAGACACATAGATAGACATGAACATTCATACATAGAAATATAGATAAATGGATAGATAAATAGATATGAACATCCATACATAGACAGATAGATATGAAACTCCATAGATAGATAGATAGATAGATAGATAGATAGATAGATAGATATGAACATCTATAGATATATTGATAGGTATCCACGTCCGTAGATATATATTGATAAATAGATTGATACATAAATATGAACATTCTTAGATAGATAGGTATGAATATACCGAGATTGATAGATAGATAGATACGAACCTAGATAGATAGATAGATAGATAGATAGATAGATAGATAGATAGGTAAGAGTATCCTTATATAGATATGGACATCCATTGATAGATAGATATGAACACCCATAGACAGATAGATATATATATAGATAAACAGATATGAAAAACCATAGATAACTTGATAGATCGATAGTTAGATAGGCACTGAATAAGATCAGCATTAACATGAATGTATAGATATTAACCCCGAGACAGAAAGGATTGGTGTTAACTAAAATGGCGTGGAATGAAGAAATGAGAAGAAAACATTTCTCGTGTATGACGACGCTAGAAAATAACGCTTTCCATATTCAATAACAAACCCTCAGTCGAATGGTTAAAATTTGCCGGAACGTCTGGCCAAGGTGAAAGTAACAATAAAAACCGCGAAAATGCTAAAAGAACTAGCAGCTAAGTCACGACTTTAATGAGACATTTACAGATTTTTAGAACGCGAGAAAAAAAAGAGTCAATCGTTGTTTACTGCGAATAGATATTATGGTGCTGGGGTTGATTCTAAAATAATAATGATAATAAAATACCGAATACTTCCCGCCGGCCATATTTAGCTTGAATTAATCTTTGAGTCGGTGAATGGGCGATAAATAGCAAGCGTACTGGGGATGTTGAAAAGTTCTTGATCTGACCAAGAAGGCATTTAAAAAAAATAAATTCTGATATTTGGACAATTGGGCAGTTTTTGAAAAGTGGATCAGGTTTAGAAATTTTCATAACCCTCGCCTATGTATCCGCATATATTTCTACGTAAATAAAAAACACATACACACACAAACGGCTTGCATAGAACACGCCACATTCTCACAGAAACTCACCTGCCACCTATCGAACCAATGTGCCACCAGACAATACATTAATAAGCAGTATAAGAATCATAGTAACATTAGACAGCCACTTACAATGCCAAAATACTAGCAAAATAAAATAGTAAAACCAGTCTTATGTAAAAAAATTAGTAAAATCGGTCTTAAAAATTCGGTCCGAAGAGATACATATAACAATATTCATGAATTAAATCATAACCGATATATTTTTTTAGGTGTTTTTCATATATATATATATATATATATATATATATATATATATATATATATATATATATATATATATATATATATATATATATATATATATATATATATATATATATATATATATATATATATATATAAAAAGAAATGGACAAAGTCCGACAATTTATTAAAGACATTTTTATGTTTAATATTCTTTTATGGATACAATTCGGCCACAAAGTAAATTCGACCTTGCCTACCGAACGCTCCTTTGTGGCCGAGACGGTAAGGCACGTCAGCGTAAATGACGGTTCCGTATAGAATGCAGGTTCGAATCCTGTCAAAGGACGAATATTTTCTATGAAAATTTCTCGGACATTCAGGCCGGTAAATGTTATTTAATACTGTTTATTATAAACAGAGCATTTACTTAAATACTTGTATCTATAAAAAGAATGTTAAATATAAAAAATGTCTTTAATAAATTGTCGGACTTTGTCCATTTCTTAATGTATGACGTCATTTGTTTACATTTGATACGCCATGATCAGTTATGAATGTACGAGATTCATGGAAGATTGAAGTTTATAAGCAGTAAATTCGGCCACAAAGTAAATTCGACCTGGCCAACCAAACGATCCTTTGTGGCCGAATGGTTAGGCATGCCAAGCTAAATGACGGTTCCGTATAGAATGCAGGTTCGAATCCTGTCAAAGGACGAATATTTTCTATGAAAATTTCTCGGACATTCAGGCTGGTACATGTTATTTAATACTGTTTATTATAAACAGAGCATTTACTTAAATACTTGTATTTATAAAAAGAATGTTAAACATAAAAATGTCTTTGATATATATCTATGTATCTATACACATTTGAGCTTTGCATAAATTATCGATTAATTTTTAGTATCACCCACAGTTTATTTTTCTTTAAACTGCACCAAATGCAAATCTTTCATCTCTTCAATAAGAGTCATTTACTGCGTTTTTTTTTTATTCCGTTAGCCACCTGCCTGGACCCTTTTTAATTTTGAATATGGTACAGAATGTTAATTTTGGCATTCCGTACTCTTCACCAAGTTTTCTCTGTTTTAATGTTTAGAAATCATTTCCTTCATACCTACGACCACTGATGTTCTCATTCGCCTCTGTTTATATTACGTTTTTATAAAGTTCACAATTTAGGATAAGAAACGAGTATAGTATGGAGACTGAGATGGCGTTTAGGATGCTCCTAGTCATTTATGCATCTTCTACTGGAAACTCGCTGTTCTGATTTTAGTTCGTTAGGCGAATTTATTCTTCTCCCGGAAAAAAATCGTTATTCAATTTGTTCGTTTGGTAAACTGTTAGTACATGTGTTTTCTACTGTATGTGTTAGTTGATAGCTATTACTCTGAGTAGAAGCAAGAAATGAAGATATAAGTCTTTGTATGCGCGTGGGTAATTGTATTCAAATAGATTTTAGTACAACATTCAGGTTTTCTTCGCCTAACGCAGTGGTTCTCAGCTTTTTGCTTTACCCATGGACCACTTTTACTCTTAATTTTCTTTTGGTTGAAATACTATAGCTATTTTATGAAAAAAAAAAGAAGCTTTTTTTAACTAATAGGTATGTTTAGGAATTGTATTATATAAATTGTAAAATGTATATGATTCCTTTATATATAATTCTTATATTATTCTCCTTATAGTGATTTTCTAAGCGTGGATTATATATATAGTCTTCCTTTATATATAATCCTTACATAATCTATATATTAAATTAATTTCATTATTAATATTTTGTTTTTTAATATTTTATATTAATCAATTTATATTAATATATTAATATTTATATCTTATTAATATTTTAAATTAATATCATTATTTTTTATTAATATATTAAATTAATTTATATAATAAATTATAATCTTTATATAATTTTCCCATGTCCTGACTATTGTGTTTAGCATGAAACAAACTGTGGGTGTTGACTTTAACGTCCACTTTTATATTTATATACGCTAAATCCCTGAGCACTTTAGCCGATAAATATAGCATAACTTAAAACTATTTATCTTATAATTTTCCTATATATATATATATATATATATATATATATATATAATCCTTCCTTTATATATATTTCTCAGTTTTTCTTCAAATTTTACCATAAAAAATCCGGTAAAGTAAAATGGACGCTAGCTAACATCGTTTGGTTTCATTTTCAGTTAGTTTCAGAGTTTTTTTTTTCTATTTCTATATAGTATTTTAATATGGCGTAGATTACTGTAGAGATTCCAATTCTCAGCTGTAATAATTATTCTGAATTGAAATTACTCCACTAAAATATTACTGTAGACCCCCAATTTGTTATTTTTTTGTATGGAGCACCAGGTTACATATTGGTCCCAGTTGCGTACCATTACTTTAAATGCCATCGTGGTTCACTGTAATATATCAGAACACAATTTTCACTTAATAAATGCCAGTCTGACCAGGAAATAAAAAGAAGGAAATTCATTGAGAGAGTCCTGATCTCACAAGCCTAGACAATAAATCTAAGACCAGGACAATACATAATATCACAGATCATCGGGAAAAAAACAATGTCAGCACTATGCGATATACAAGCTAACAGATTAAAGAAAAACAAATCTTTTCTCAGAGTTGGCTTATGTAAACCCAACAGAGATCAATGGTCGTAATAAATATAAATAAAGAGATAAAAAACAATTTCTGGTATTTGGTCGTTGTAGCTAATAGAGTTTTTTTTTTAATTAGTGGCCCATCTAAATTTAATTAATTTAATTAGTGGCTCATCTAGCGATTTTCTAAGCGTGGATTATATGTATAGTCTTCCTTTATATATAATACTTATAAAATTTATATATTAAATTAATTTTATTATTAATATTTTATTTTTAAATATGTTGTATTAATTAATTTATATTAATATATTAATATTTTATTATTAATATATTAAATTAATTTATATACTAAATTATAATCTTTGCATATTTTTCCTATATATATATATATATATATATATATATATACTCCGTCCTTCATATATCCTTCTCAGTTTTTATTCAAGATTTACAATCAAAACTCCCTGCACAGTAAAGGGGACGCAAGCTAACATCGTTTGGTTTCGTTTTCAGTTAGTTACAGAGTTGTTTTTCTATTTCTAGTATTTTAATATGGCGTCGATTACTGTAGAGATTCCAATACTCAGTTGTAACAACCGTTCCGAAGTGAAATAGCTCTATGGATCACTAAGATATTTCCGTGGACTCTCAATTTGCTATTTTTGTGTGGATCCTCAGGAATGTTATATGGACCCCCAGGACTCATATGGATCCCGGTTGAGAACCACTGGTTTACATAAATTGAAAACTACAGAAAGTTCCGAATGTTCTAAAATTATTTTTGATAATATTTGAAAGACAAAGATGTTTACTTTAATGTTCCCAAGTTTCCTTCAGTTATCTATATAAATTATCAGTGGAAGCAAACAATTTTAATCTCTGTATATAGAATAGATTGGTTGACAGAATTTAACATCCGTGCTTATCTTATTACTAAAAAATCCCAGACCGTATAAAATTATATCCAAGGAAAATCCTGAAATATTTCCAAAATGGCCTTCCAAGCCAGTAAAAGTTGTACTTCGAATATATTTTCTATAACTATGTTACTAATTATTGTCAACAATGGTTTGGAGCTTTTAGTGACGCTATGGCCGTGACGCCCATGTAGAAGAGGAAAGCATGATTTTATTTCAACCTGAATGCTTCTGATTTATGGCCAGTGGATGGAGTCTTTAAACTCGACCGAAGGAGAACAATATCTATCTATATTTCTGAGATGAGGTATTGTTACTATTTACACAATTTACCTTGTTCGGGCTGGAATTAGGATTAAGGATAAAAGCGTTTGTTGAAGTAATCCAGTGACTTGATCCAAAGGGTTGTGAGTTCAATACTTGGCCACAGCAGAGGTGGACAAAAACGTGAAGAGTTG